TGGATGAGGAGTTGGGGAAGATCAGGGCTGATTTACTGAGGGAATGGAGTAGTCATCCGGGGTATTTAGTGGAGGGGGAGCGATTGTTGTATCAAGGGAGGTTTGTGATACTCCGGACCTCAGTCCACATTCCATTCTTACTCCAGGAATTCCATGGGAGCGCTATGGGGGGCCATTCAGCGATGCAGAAGACATATATGAGGCTAACCTCAGAGTTGTACTGGAAGGGGATGCATAAAGATATAAAGGAGATGGTGGCCAGGTGTGAGATATGCGAGAGAAACAAGTACTTGACTATGTTGTCAGGAGGACTACTACAGCCGTTGGCTTTACCAGGGCGGTTATGAGAAGATGTATCCATGGACTTCATAGATGGGCTGCCCCGTTCAGAAGGATTCACAGTGATTATGGTGGTTGTGGACACATTGAGTAAATATACTCATTTCATTCCTTTATGACATCCATACACTGAATTAATAGTGACATCAGCTTTCATCAGAGAGGTGGTCAGATTGCATGAGGTACCAGAGGAGATAGTATCAGACAGAGAAAAGGTGCTCCTCAGCCATTTCTGGAAAGATTTGTTCAAATTATAGGGGACAATTCTAAAGAGAAGCACTGCCTACCGCCCACAGACGAATGGTCAAATAGAAGTGGTCAACATAAGCTTGGAGACCTACCTCCGATGTTTTGTGTCGAGACACCCAAGCTATGGGCCAATGGTTATCTTGGGCGGAGTATTGGTACAACACCTATCATTCGGCGTAGCATATGACACCCTTCAAGGTGTTGTATGAACGGTCGACGTCGCAGATGACACCCTTCAAGTTGTTGTACGAACGGGACCCTCCTCACCTCACTTAGTGCACTTCGGACAGAGCAACACTCCAGTTTCATCAGTAGAAGAGTACTTAGAAGAAAGGGGCATAGTGTTGGAAGAATTAAAAAGACATCTGCTGAGAGCTCAACAAATCATGAAGAAACAGGTTGACGGGCATAGAAGAGACATCCAGTTTGAGGTTGGGGAGAGGGTGTTTTTGAAGCTCAAACCGTATAGGCAAACAACAGTCGCTAACAGGAGAAATGAAAAACTTGCCCCAAGATACTTCGGGCCATATGAGTTCTTGGAGAATATCGGAGCAGTTGCATATTGCTTGAAGCTACCACCAACGGCAACTATACACCCTATTTTTCATGTATCCCAATTGAGAAGGCAATTGGAGAATTATGCAGCCAGCTCAGAGTTACTGATGATACTCACGGAGGAGTTAGAGGTGATTTTGAAACCCTTAGAATTGATGAGGGTTCGCCAGAGGGAGGATGGAGCTAAAGAAGTGTTGATCAAGTGGAAAAGCCTTTCGGACTACGATGCCACATGGGAACCATATGAGAGGATGAAACATCAATTTCCCAATTTTCACCTTGAGGACATGTGGTTCTTTGGGAGGGAGGTATTGTTACGGTTCTCCCTAGAATTGAACCAACCAAACCAGCCCAGGAGGGGCCGGTTCAGTTTTATACGAGGCGGGTTAAGCCGCCTCCTTAAGGTTCCACCCAAGCAAGAGGAAATGGGGTGGCTAATGCTTAAGGAAGTAATTTTGAATTTGGTTTATGTTAGGAAGCTTTTTATTAGTAAGAATTGTATTTAAAGAATAGGAGAAGCTAGGATTAGGGCATGCATGATTATTGTTTTATTTTGGTGGCTTTGAGCTCTAGATTCATCGTCTAGAGATTGGGAGAGAACAATCCTCCTCTCGAATTGAGGATCAATTGCATCTTTGCTTGTTCTTGCCTTTGATTTTATTCCTATAATATAATCTACTATTTTTTGACTGTTTCATTGGAGATATTGAAGTTTTTTTTTTTTCGCTGTTTTCACGAATTCTTGTTAGGGTTGCTTGAGAACTCAAGAATTTCCCTCTAGAGTTACTTGCGAACTCAAGTATTTCCTATCATTAAACTTTTGCAGAGAGTCGCTATTTTGTTAAAAAAATCTCATAATTTCTCTATTATCGTGGATTTGGCGCTAGCACTTTATGATGAGCCATAAACTTACTGGGGAATCTTTTAACTTTTAAAACTTGTGCTTTATGTATCCACTTAACCACTTAACCACTTAAATGTTTGATTCAAAATGTTTTAGCATAATTAAAAGAATATATAAATGATAATTAGGAGCTTGAGTGCTTAACTTGAATCAAACATTTTTTAACGTATAAAGTTAAAGAAAATTTTCATAAATCTAGAGCAGCTTCACATTTATAATTTGTTTAGATAGCTTCATTTTGGATAGTTATATTTAGATCAAATAAACAATGTAGGTTTGTGATAATCAAAATTGAGTTCACCATAATGTGGGCCCCATGGGGTCCACAAAGATGAACCTGGCTACCCCAGTGGTCTCATTGTATATATGATTATATAAAAGGTAGTGCACAAGTGTTAATGGCTATAAGCAGGCAAAAATAGAAAGAAAAAAAAAATCTTAGTTGAATCTTGTAAATCCAATTATCTGATTAAGATTTCATACCTCTAACAGAAACCTTTTGTTTATATGTTAATCACATATAGAAACCTAGCAAAAGTAGATTTTAACAGGTTTCTGATAGTGTAGATCATTTACACACTAGAAGCACCTCACGCACACATACAGCAACCTTATATATGTAACTGTATCTGATGTGTGCAGTTAATTTGCAGAATGTAGACTTGAGCCTTGTTTCGTCTCATCCACCACCAGCCTTTTACGTGGTTTCTAAGAAAACTAAAAAAAAACAAGCTTGGAGACTAGTTAGTTTTTTGAAAGTTTTTCAGCCTTCTAGCCCAAATACTAAACTGACTTCATGTTACTGAGTCCTTTTTTTTCAATTTTTTTATGTTCTAACATTTATAAAAGATGAGCAAATTATACTAAGATACGCGATCACTAAAACCATGATTAGGTTTCTTAGGGTTCATGAAGGCTCAAGAATTATGTGGTTCTCATTGACCTAAAGCATGGTATGATGAAGGGAAATTTGAGATCTTGATTTTAATGAAAGCTTTAAAATGGTTGTCGATGCCTCTAGCTACTGTTTCATGCCTTTAACGGGAAATTTGGCATTTTTTTTTCTTGCATGTGTATATAAATATCTTAGGTTCTTATTTACTCTAATTTGGAAGAAGCTACAAGTTAATTTTGACTATTATCTTCTGCTGCTGCTAAGACAACTTGCCACGTGAAACAATTCAAATATGCAATGTGGTTTGATTTGTATGATTTGAACTTGAAAAACATTTTGGGGCTATCTGGTTGGGTACTTAGAATGCATGTGTTCTAAGGATGCAGAGCAAAGTAAATGCTGTGTTTTTTAGTTATCTGATGTTGTTTGGAAGTAAATTTAATATTTTTATTTGATTGAACGGAAAATATGGACTCTTATACTCCATTGATAGTAACTGCTAAGATTGCCTCTTAGGTTAATGATTTAGTCTGACTATTGTGTCAAATAATAATCTGACATCTTATCTGAATTCTAAGGAATGAATTAATAATTCATACACATCTAATAACATTGACAACCAAATTTCCTTTTCTTCTTCTCCCATACATGTATTTCTTCCCATATTTGTGTCCGTCAGATGGGAATTTAACTGAGCTATTGGCCCATCCTGGAAAAGCATTTATGTGGGTACCTTGGCAGAATTTGGTGATGTGATACTTCTTTTTGACAAGCTCTTCTCCCAAGATGAAGACTTTAGAATTGACTTGATTCAAAATAGATGTGCATCTATTGTTATTGATTTGCATTCAACTGAAGTATTTGACTCATGTTGATGACGATTGTATTTGCTTTGCATTCAAAATGAAGTATATTACCCAAGTGGATACAATCACCACCTTTCTGTTGATTTTCTTTTAACCATATACTAAATTTAATTAGAATACCTACAAAGATCTTTTGAATGTTCTTTCTTATTAGAGTTGGTCTTATTTAGAAGCTCTTATAGGGAGCGTTTCTTCAACAAGTTGTGTTATGGTATTGGTTGGGCTGGTTTTGTCAGAGTTTTCTTTCCCTTGTTGGTCGGAGTATAGGATACATTGACACTTCGCTTATGAAAAGGAGTAGTGGAATGTTTTAACCTTTTGAACCTCTTTAAAGGACCAACTTATAATGAGGCATGCTTCTGTAAGACTTCATTGTGGAGCTCAGAAACTTTCCTTTTAAGTTTTTAAAGTGTCTTTATCGTTGAATCCTTAAGGAAAAATAGTAATGGAGTTATGAAAATTTTTTAATTGAATGCCCACCACATGTTTTTTACTAAGCTGTGACTCACCATATAATGCTTAAATTGTGGTACTTCTAGATGCTTAAATTGTGCCTTCACTATGCATCAAAATCCTCCACCTACGCCATTTTCCACAAGGACACATTTAACAAAGAACAGCTACATGTAAAGAATTTTAAAAGGTCGAAAAACCTAAAAAGATCTTGCAAAATTACATACATCATAGAAAAATAAAAGAATTGGCTAATCGGCCACTTCTATAGATAAGGATGTTTTATTCCTTACAAGAATCATTCTACCATTTTTGGATTGATTTTGTGTTACTTTTCCGAAGTTGCAATCTATTCTGTGCACATATAAATTTTCTATGTGCAATTTTAAGAAATGTTTTTGTAAATGAGATCATTATGATCCCAGCAGAATTTATGATGTTTGTGTAATATGAATTCCTACGAAGTTCATGTCATGAACTACCATATCAATTAAACAAAACATAAGAGCATATAGATTACCCAGTTATTGGAAAGGTTTTTCAACGTATCAAGTCATCCATCTTAATTTCATATCCTTCTTGGATGTACTTTAGTCTTTGTTTGGCACAGCTTTCTTATTGCTTTTAAAGCAGCTTTCTAGTATAAAACTTAAAATTTTTTTACTAGAAAACAACTTTAAGAAGCAGAAAGAAAGCTGTCCGAAACAAACTTGAATGTAATTTCTTTTACCAATTGCAGGCTGGAGTTTTGGCTGGAGACGTCAGTGATATTGTTCTTTTAGATGTATGCCCACTCTCCCTGGGCTTGGAGACTTTGGGCGGAGTGATGACAAAGATCATCCCTAGAAACACAACGTTGCCAACATCAAAATCAGAAGTGTTTTCCACAGCAGGTGATGGACAGACGAGTGTTGAAATAAATGTTCTTCAGGGAGAAAGAGAATTTGTGAGGGATAACAAATCCCTGGGAAGCTTCCGCTTAGATGGAATTCCGCCAGCTCCACGAGGAGTTCCACAGATTGAAGTTAAATTTGACATTGATGCCAATGGAATTTTGTCTGTGGCTGCAGTGGATAAGGGGTCTGGGAAGAAGCAGGACATCACAATTACTGGGGCTAGCACCTTACCAAGTGATGAGGTAATTGATGATTCATGCTTTTGCTATTTTTCCAAATGTTCCTATGATTCTCGTTGAAGATCTCATTTCATAACAGCAAATAAGTTGATAGGGATTTTTCATGTTTTAGCTTAATTCGTAGATTTTATCTTGAAATCCTGAGATTGGTTTAGTGGAGTCTTTAGGGGGAATTCAGCTAAGGCCTTTAAATTTATTTTCATTTTATTTCAGTGGTTAGACCTGCAATGCTTTATGGTGCCGAGTGTTGGCCATTAAAAGAGAAGCATAGTACTAAGTTAAGTGTGGCAGAGATTAGGTGGATGAGTGGCTTGACCCTTAGAGATAGGATACAAAATGAGCATATATACGTGAAAAGGTTGGAGTAGCTCCAGTGGAAGATAAGATTAGAGAGAGTCGTCTTTGGATGGTTTGGTCGTATTAAACGGAGGCTTTCCGATGACCCGGTTAGGAAAGTTGAGGTATTATATTCGACTTATGCTAAGAAAGGTAGAGGTAGACCTAAATAGACTTGGTTAGAAAATATTAGAAATGATATTTCTTTATTAGATTTAAATGAAAATTTGACTTTTAACCGGACACAATGGCGTAAAAGGACTCATGTAGCCGACCCCAAATTGTGGGACAAGTTTGATGTTGTTGTTGTTGTTATTTCGGTCATAGTTTTTTTTTTTTTAAATTCCTCTCATTTCTTTTCATGCAGGATTTATATTTCAATCTTCTTATTCTGATAGCATCTTGTTATTCGAAAATCATCTTTGATTATTGCTAGACATCTATTGATTTCAATCAATTGATTATTATTTGATGAAATCCAAATGCTTTCAAGCAAGAACTTAAAGAGTAGGGAGGTGGCGTGATAGGTGGGTGGAGAGGTTGGTGGTAGAATAGGTGAACTATGATTTTTGGCTCGTTACATGTATGTAAGGTGGAAGATGGGAGGAATATTTGGTATCTATAATAGTGACTTACAAAATTATAATTTTGAAATTTAATATGGCTTAAAAATAATACAAATTAGTTGAACGTTTAAACAAAATAGAGGCTAAAATTTGTTTGTTGAATAAGTTGTTACTTTTATGGTTGGACAATCCCCCCCTTAAATCCAAATTTCCAAAGCATAAATGTGTTTCCAGAACATTGCAAGCAACAGCTACATTATTTTTGCTTGCAACAGAAATCATTTCGTATTAATTTAATTTGGAATGGTAGGTTGACAGAATGGTAAAGGAAGCTGACAAATTTGCAGAGGAGGACAAGGAGAAGAGGGATGCAATAGACACCAAAAATCAAGCAGGATCTGTAGTCTACCAGACTGAAAAGCAATTGAAAGATCTGGGTGACAAGGTTCCTGCTTCTGTAAAAGAGAAGGTGGAGTCAAAGCTTGGGGAACTGAAAAATGCCATATCCAGTGAATCGACCCAAGGCATGAAGGATGCCATGGCTGCCTTGAACCAAGAGGTTATGCAGTTAGGCCAGTCTCTTTATAACCAGCCAAGCACACCTGGAGCAGACGCTGGTGAAACAGGTCCTTCCCCTAATGCCAATGGCGCCGATGGTGGATCTGTCATTGATGCAGATTTCACTGATACCAAATGATAGGTGATTTTTTCAATACCAGCTATACAAATTTTAATTTTCAGATAGCCTGAGGAATTGAAACTCTTTATATATCTAAGTATTATTATTATTATTAGCTCATTCTTTACTTATCTATAGATGGAAAATCCGGCTGTTGTTTGATCTGTATATTTGGATTATGCATTTGTTGCATTTTTACTATCAAGCTTTTTGTTTCATCAACACCAAGCTGCTGTTGGCTCAGCAAGCTTTCACATACTTCCTTAATCCTAAACCCGGAAATACTGTTTGTTTTAGTGATCCCATGTTATCAACACTTACCCAAATAAAAATTAAATTGTGAACTTATTAAGCATGCCTTTTAAAAAGCATCTTAGCCAATCACTTAGGCATATAGGCTAACAAGAGGATTGAAAACAAACTAAAATTTGAAGTCTTTAACTCATATAGGATTAAGAAAAGAATTTATCTATAAAAACTTTAAAGGAAAGAATAAAAGATCCTAGGAAAAAACTAGCGAAATATTTCTTCACAAAAACATTTAACACCTATTAATCGCCAACCAAATTAAAACCAAGGAAGCAGTAAATCTCAACTCTGGCACGCTATTATTGTATAGACAAAGAAGCAAAGGCACGATTCGCACAGTAGAGACGGCTTGAAGAGAAACCGTGCATGAAATGAACAGCCTCATTTTGATAAGAAAAATTAGGCCAGATTCAGCTCTAGATTCGAAGGATAATTAACTAAAGTCACGGTAACTGAACCTGTATACTAGATACCAATAAAATTATTACATGACACATTATGATAATATTCTGCGGCCACATAATTTCTCCATTTCGATAACGAGTGAAAGATTCTGAATTTGATAGTGTAATAATCATAGAATTTTAATCTACCGGCTAAAACAGAAAAATAATAAATACATATATTCATATAAAACAAAATTTCATTTTATCCTAACAAATCGAACACAATTAAATAAAACCGTTTTTGCCTCCCTAAAAAACAGAAGTTCAAAAAACCTGACTTCATCAATGATCAAGTTAAATGCGACCTCATTAAACGACGAGATTTTATCACAACTTAAGTGGACATAATTTGTCCAGAATTAGATACCCACCAGATTTAGTGATTTAAAATATTGGAAGAAACATTCTGAACCATGCAAAATGGAATTAATCAAACAAAGCTGAAAAAATTTGTGTCAGCCTCACTAAAAAGCTTGAGTTCAAAATAGCTGACTTCAGCAATGATCAAGTTAAATACAGCCTCATTAAACGACGAGATTCTATCACAACTTAAGTGGACAAAATCTCTCCAGAATAGATACCACCAGATTTTGTGATTTAAAAAATAGGTAGAAACATTCCGAACCATGCAAATTGGAAACTAATAGGGCAAATATCCTTAATACCGCCAAAACTCTCATTTTGCAAGCCGACAAACAACCTATCTTTCTTTCAATATATAATATGATTTCTTGCTTTTAAAAAAGTTGATTGGAACAGCACTCTTCTTTATATACAAAAGAAAAATCTTTTCCAAAGACGAACGGGCAGCCACATATATCCCTACCCCCATCAGAAATAACAATCCAGTGGGAAAATTTGTATTTAAAAATAACTAGAAATAACATAAAACTTCGTTATCAAATAATAAGAAGTGCAAACACAAACAGACAGGAATAAAATGCTGCACAAATAGCAGAGGGTCTCTTATCAAAACCTCAAACAAAATACAGGCAGGCATCTCATTGCCCAGATCATTACGAGAAAAAAGAAACTACGATGTCCCTCGGTTCTTAACCTCAAGATTTATTCTCACAAAAACACATCAAACGATACAAAGGAACGCCAAATTATAATGCGGTAGTAGTGAGGGGAGTCGCCGGACTTTTCGTTAATCTACTTCTTGCTGGCAATGTGGCGGATAAGATCAACAACCCGGTTGCTGCAATAAAAAAAAATCATGCAGAACAAAGTAAAAAACTAAGATTTGGTAAAATCAAACTTATAGGCTGTTTAATTGATTAAAGAAAGAATGCAGTGCAATTCCAGCCCCATTCAAAATGAACTAATAACATCAATTTAATCAAAGGAAGAAAAGTTTGGGAATTACCTGTAGCCCCATTCGTTGTCATACCAAGCCACGATCTTCACAAAATTATCATTCAAAGCAATTCCAGCCTTGGCATCAAAGATGCTCGACCTATATTTAGAACACCACATAAAGATAAATATAATCATAACAAAATTGGAAACATGAAACATTCATAAGAACTTAACAAATAGATATACCTGCTGTCACCCAAGAAATCAGTTGACACAAGATCCTCATCAACGTAGCCAATGATACCTTTAAGCTTTCCCTCGGATTCTTCCCTGAAAAACAAAATAATACGTACTAGCGTTAGAATTTAGATGATGAGTTAACTGCATCAAAAAGCTATAGATCAAACGAGTATATTCCTTGTATAGATGCAAGGAATATGAGATTATTTACTTACTTTATAGCAGCCTTAATGTCCTCATAGGTGGCCGCCTTCTCAATCCTCACGGTAAGATCAACAACTGAAACATCCACAGTCGGTACACGGAAGGCCATACCAGTCAATTTCCCATTCAACGCAGGGAGAACCTTCCCAACAGCCTGTTCATTTAACAAAAGAACTGATAGTTAGAATTTAGATATACATAATAATTCATACCATCTAACAGCAGCTACAACAAAACGGTCCAAACGAATAATTCTTCTCATGGAAGCTGAAGGTATAAAATTGAATTTTATAAAATAAAAATTCTTTAAATATAAAGCATGCCCTGCCTTGGCAGCTCCAGTGCTGCTAGGAATGATATTGAAGCTAGCAGCTCTTCCACCCCTCCAGTCCTTGCTTGATGGACCATCAACAGTCTTCTGAGTGGCTAAGTATCAAAATAATCTTCAAAGTTAACGCAAATAAAACACGAAACCATGAAATAAATCAAGTATTAGAAAATTCATTAACAGACCAGTGATTGCATGCACGGTAGTCATCAAGGCCTCAATAATGCCAAACCTGTCATGAATGACCTGTCACAAAACACAAAAACAAATTAAAGATAGCCACAAAAAAACAAAAGAGCTCCAAGGAAGCTTATTATAGATATATACCTTTGCAAGGGGAGCCAAACAATTGGTTGTGCAGCTAGCATTGGAAACAATATCGATATCAGCTTTATACTCATGCTCATTAACACCAACAACAAACATTGGAGCATCTTTGCTTGGTGCAGAGATGATAACCTTCTTGGCACCGCCCTGTTATTACATGAAGAAAATGAAAAGTTCTTTAATGAAGAAGGAAACAGTAATTATTTCATCGAGTCCCAATAAACTATCAAGTTTTTCCTACTTAAGATTTAGGGTACAACGACCCCTCCTTTTAAGCAATCTGTCTCCCTCCAAAGAATTGTATTTTCATGTGAACAAAATGCATTCAAATCTTCTTTTATATTTACACACAAAAAAAAAACTGCGGTTAGGAATTCAAGAAATAAACTCAAGCAATACCTTCAGGTGAGCAGCTGCTTTGTCCTTGTCGGTAAAGACACCAGTGGACTCCACAACATAGTCAGCGCCAGCCTCACCCCATGGGATCTCCTCAGGGTTCCTTCATATGCAAATTCAATCAGTGCTCAAGGAGAGATATCTAACATAAGGGGATTCACAATATGATAAATATTAAACCAATTTTCCGGAAGATTCACCTACCTGACGCCAAAGACTGTAACAGGTTTATCTCCAAAGAGAAGGGTCTTGGAGTCCTTCACGCTTATTTCATGATGTTTCCATTGCCCGTGCACAGTATCATACTTGAACATGTATGTCTGCATGCAGTTTGCAAAGTAAGCCAACCTTGGTTGTAAAATTATAATAAATGAGATTTATGCCCTAAACAAGTGACATCTAGATGCTAGCTGGAATCAAGCGACCTCATTAGATAACAATTAACATCTTGGAACCAGAAAATCCTTTCATTTGGGTATAAAAAATTCCTGAGTTTTCCCAAACCCACACGAAACATTAAGGAATGCAAGGGGGCTGTTTGGCATCAAATTCAAGAAAGATTTAATTTGAAATCCTGCCAAAGCAAAATTAGGTAATTTTTCATCCTGCAATTTTGATAAATACCATTTCAGCACCGTTTTTGGATAATAAAATTGTTAAATCCAGGATTCGTTAAATTCCAGCTTTCAAAGGATTTCACAGATTTAAGGATCCCTCCCCCTCACAAATCTTCAATCCTGAAACAAAAGACCTACAGTTGCCAGACCAAACAGGTTACTGGTTTAATCCTCTAAAAAGATTTACTAAATCCTACTTGAAGCCAAAATAGCCCATAAGCGCATGAACATTCGTAAAAGAAAGATAGTCTCGGTCAGATCATCCGACTAAGAAATTTTTTTCCAACTAAAATAAGCCACAAGAGCGAGCAAAGGAAAAGAACACAACAAGATTCTTTAAACTAGTATGATCACATCAAGTGAATAAATATTTAACAACGCTGAAAGCAGAAGACACCTTAAACCCAACACCTACTTAAGTTTTAAAATACCTAGTCATCCTTCAATCTAACGTAGTAAAAAATGCCTACATACTTTAGCCCTTTCACGACCATCCCACCATGGATGTAAACTGACGACAGTCCAACCAACCGAGAGTTCATCATACACAATCAGAAAGACCAGAAATCACAACCGATCAAGAAAAAAATACGGCAGATGCATAAATCGCAATGCACAAACCATCAAATTACTAGATCTACATATCCAAAAAAATCTTACCATGTATTCAGTGGTGATGAACGGATCGTTGACAGCCACCAGCTCCACATCTTCACTCAAAAGCGCAACCCTGGCTACAAGCCTTCCAATCCTTCCAAAACCTACAAAAAACCAACAGATTCCAATGATCAGCAATCCCAACTCCTCCATACATAAAAAACCTCCAATCCATACATGAACCAAAAGAATCCTACCGTTTATTCCGATCTTGATCTTTCCAGTTGCTGCCATCGAACAACCATAGGAAGAAAAAACACCAAATCAGCGAGCAAGATCCAGCAAAAGACAATCAGATCAAACTGAAAATATCTAAAAGGAGGTCTTACCCATGGCAATCAATACGAGCACAACGAGAGAGGAAATTAATTGAGAACAACAGATAGAAGAGAGGCGCAGAAGAAATGGTCGAAGACAGACAGGCGTTCGGAACCTCTTTATATAGGAGGCTCTGTGGCGACCTAGGGCTCCGCTTTGGCTATTTGGTCTCTTCAGGTTCGTCCAGAAGGTCAGCACCGGGAATTCAAAAACCGCCGGGTTTCTTGGTCAGCAGTTTTGAGTTTACTATTACCGCGGAGCCAATTAATCTAATGTACTCCACAGTCGTGGCAATAGATTATTAGCTGGAGATAATCTAAGTGGGTCCCACGGATTGCGGTAGATGGCGTAGATAGGAGAGGAACCACGTCATTGGCGACGTCGGGCGTGAATCGAGACGTCGATAGCGGTAAATGATCTCGTGAGGTGGTTGTGGGCAGGGTAGATGCCCTTATAAATGATCTTAATTACGAGAGTACCACGACGGCCGGGCCGGTCCTCCTTTTCTAGAGATTTCCGCGATGGAACCGTGGTTTTTGCCTTTTCGACGGCCATTAGTTTTTATGGTTGTTTTTGGGCCGGCAAATGTCCAAAAATGGCCTATGCGTTGGCCTTCTTTGTGATTGTGAGAATTTGGCCGGCCAGGACATTGTGGCCCAATATTGTAGAAATTATGAATTTAGAATTTTTTCCCGCAAGTAATTTCAAGTGTAATTTTCTTAGTCTAAAATAGTTCATATTCAGCATAATGTGTGTGATAGAGTTTAGGGTTTCTGGAAAACTCTAGTAGGTTTTTTCTCTTCGACTTCTCTTTCGAATGATTTTCTTCTGTTGTCATTGGCTAAGGCCCTGGATTTCTTATTTGGGTTCTCTTCGAATGGCAAGAAATCTTGGAATGGGATATTGACTTTCCGTCAATCTTCCTCCAATCCTTTTTTTTAATTTTTTTGGTTACCTCTTTGGCTAATATTGCTCATTTCTCTGAGGAAGATGTTGTGTTTGCTTCTGAAAAATGGATATTGACTCTAGTTGGTTACTCTTTGGGTAAGCAACCTTATTTTGAAGCATTACGTTCGATAATGCTTAAAATCTGGAAGCTGAAAGGTACTTAAACTCCTTGCTTTAAGTGAATGCTTTTTCTTGATAAAATTTTCATATCCTGAGAATTATGACTTGGTTTGATCTGGAGGACCATGGTTCCTTTTTGGAAAACCACTAATAATCCAGCTTTGGTCGCTTTTGTTTTGACCTAACGAGAGGAGTTTTCTTCTATTCCTCTCTAGATTAAGATTCTTGATTTACCACTAGTTTGTTGGATTCCATAAGGTATTTCAAAGATTGCAAGTTAGTTGGAATTCCTATATTTGTGGATGTCGTAACGGTAGATCAAATCAGGCTTACTTTTGCTAGGGTTTGTGTTCTTATTAATAAAGATTCCCCTCTTCCTGAGGAAACTAAAGTTTCTGTGGCAGGTAACATATTTTTTAAAAAAATTATTTATGATTGGAAGCCATCTCCTTGTTCTGAGTGTGTTCCTTTCGTCCATCCTATCTCTTTGCCCTTTTAAACCTCTGGAACAAAAAGATAAAGAGAATGTTATTCTGGTAACTGATAGTGGGAGAAGTAAGACTAGAAAATTTTGGAAGCTATTTTCTCATCCTTTTAAATCTTCTAAACCTCCTAAATCTCCATTTCATCAACGTGCTCTGAATAATTCCAATATTCAGGTTCGTTCAGATTTGGTTCTTCAATCGAATTCTAATTTGCAATCTTTGAATTCAACGGATGTGATATATTCTATATATATTATTTTATCTTCTAAGAATATTAATATAAAAGATGCAATTTCTATTCCTGATAATATTATTTTGGATAAATTAGATGTTATTCTTCTATATTGAAAGAAGTTTTGTTAAATCTCAATTCTCTTTCAAAAGATCCTTCTTATGATTTATTAGATAATACTAATTCAGTTTCAAATATTCCTATTAATGATGTTATATCTAAGGATGCTAAATGGTAAATAAGTTTTAGGTTTTGCAAGGGTTGGAGGAACAATTAGTAGAATCACAGACTGCTAAAGTTGATGATTCTAATTTAAATATCCAAAATAATGACACTGAATACTTGAATGATATTGCTAAAGTTCAACCTACTATAAAGGTTTTTTTAGCTTCCGGTAAGCCAACTAGATCAAAAAATGCCAAAAATGCAGCAAATTCTTCTTATAAATATTAATATTAATGCCTAATATTGTTTCCTATAATGTTAGAGATTTTCACCATTTGGATAGAGTTACTGCTTGCACGAAAATTATTAATAAATTTTATGTTAAGCTTTTTATATTCTTGAAGCTAAGATTAAATTGAATCAATTAAGAATCCTTGATTTGATGCTAAACATAGGATTCGCCTTCAAGAAGAAGGCAGTTGTCTTAATTTTTCTTACTCTTATCCTTGTAGAATTTGGTTGAAATGGGATGTTTCTCGTATTGATTTTAATTGTATTATTTCTTCTAATCAATTTATACATGGTTCAATTATTTTAGATTCTTCTTCTTCTTCTATTTTTATAATCGTGGTTATGCTGCGAATTCTGTGGTTGATAGAATTTCTCTTTGGCAAGATCTCCTTAATTTGACTAATAATATTTCTTCCCCATGACTTATTTAGGAGGATTTTAATTGTCGTATATTTGCTAATGAGAAAATCTGGAGGAAATTTTATCCCTAATACTAAGTTGTGGAATTTTCATAACATTATTTTAATACTAGTCTTCATGATTTTTCTTTAGTTGGGCATTTTTTCACTTGATATAATCAACAAATGAATTCTACTGTTCATATTAAATTAGATATGATTTTGGTTAGCTATCATTGGTTGAATATTTTACCTTATTCTTTTTATCGTGCAGGTAATTCTTTGTGCTCTGATCATTCTCCTCTTATAGTGTGCAATAAAAGTATAGATTCTTATAAAAAGATATTTCTTTTTAAGAATTATTGGTGCAAAAGGCTGAAATTTTGGGATTTACTTATAGATTCCTTTACTAAAGCTCCTATTAGTAATTATGTTAATAATTTTTGTGGTAAATTGCATTCTCTTAAAAGTTTGATTAAAAATCAAAATTGGGCCTCTTCTAAGATGGTTTCTAACAAAATTGCATATCTTCAAAAGCATCAGAAAGAGTTATTAATGAATATTCAAGCTAATATGTTAGATCATGATCTTAATATGGCTCTTAAGAATGTTAATGGGTTGCTCAATTTTAATATGTCTTCATGTTCTTCTTGGATTGTTCAAAGAGCTAAAGCTAAATGGATTTCTAATGATGAGGAGGACTTGAGTTTTCTTTATTCAAAAATTCAGCATAGACAAAACAAGAATAAAATTAATATCATTTATTCTTCTAGTTGTATTATTTCTGAGTCTAAAGGGATTTTTGAGGCTTTCGTGAATCATTTTAAGAATTTCTTTAATTCTCCTAAGTCGGTAAGCTAGTTTTCTCTTCTTCTTTTGTCATTCTAGTTGGAAAGAAAAAACTTGATGTTATTTTGGCTTTTCTGGTTGTGCCATTTACTATTGAGAAAATTAAAAAAGTTGTTTTCTTTAGACCTTCTTCTTCTCCCATGGTCTTAACGATTTTACTTTTGAATTCTTTAAGAAAGCTTGGGATATTATTTGATCTAGTTTTTGTAATACTATTTTTCATTTCTTTAAAGCATATTATTTATGAAGGGCACCTAAAGCCACAGCTATTACTCTTATTCCTACGCATGCTAATACACAAATTACTAATTTTAGACCTATCTCTTTATATAATATTTTTTTATTAAATGGTTGATAAGATTTTGGCCATTAGAATAAAGGATGTTATATCTTTTATTAAAAAAAAATTCCAGTAATAATATTATTCTTGCTGTTGAATTATTAAGAGATTTTAATTGCTTGAGTAAAGGTAAATATTTTTGCTCAAAATTGGATATTCACAAAGTATTTGACAATGTTTCTAGATATTTTCTCTTTAATAGAATGGCTTAAGGAGGTTTTCCTCAAGACTTTATATCTTGGATTAAAGGATGCATTGATGATACTTTCTTCTCTATTTTGCTTAATGCTTCTCTTAATAGATTCTTTAGTTCATATTTTGGTCTTCATCAAGGTTGTCATATTTCTCCTTATCTTTTCTGCATTATTATGGATGCTTTATCTAATCTTCTAGATGAAAAGTCTCAAATTATTAATTTTGAGGGCATTAATTCTAGTGCATATTCTATCTCTCATTCATTATATGTGGATGATATGATTTTTTTTTTTTTTTTTTGTAAAGCTTCTTTTTTCTAATAATGAAATGTTAAAGGGTATTCTTGATAATTTTTATAAGGTTTTTGGTTTAAAGGTTAATCAAGAAAAAGACATCATCATTTTTTTCAAAAGTGTGTTCTATTGTTGAAAATATTAGTCATATTTTGGAAATTCCTATTTTTCAAAATTCTTTAAAATATTTAGTTTTGCCTATATCTTGTAAAAGGCTTACTATTTTAGATTTTCAGTATTTGCTTAGTAAAATTATTGCTCTTCTTGCTGGTTGGAAAGCTAGGATATTATCTTTTACATGAAGGGTTCAATAAATTAATTTAACTATTTATAATGTTGTTTCTTACTGAATTAGAGTGCTTCTTTTACCTAAATCTTGTTTTAAATTTATTAAGAAAGCTTGTTATAATTTGTTATTTTATGGTGAAGTTGCTACCAAAAAAATACATATGATAGTTTGGAAAGATATTTGTAAGCCTAAGAAGGTTAAATGTTTGGGTATTCCAGATCTGAATGCAATATTTTTTGCTTATGGTTGTTCTCTTATTTGGCGTATTATTAATAGTATTGGTCTTTTAGTTGCTTGAGTTAAATATAAATATATTCCTTGTTGAAAACCTTGTTCTCAAAAGGATTCAAAATTTTAAAAAGACCTTTGTAGTATTGCTAGGGACATTAAAGGTGATATTTCTTTTAATGTTTCCTCTAATTGTCCTTTTTCTATGTATTGGGATCCTTGGTTAAATGGGAAAGTGGTTCATGAAGTTCTTTTTAACATTTCAGATAGTTTGATTAATTCTAGTACTATTGAGGATAGGATTATTAAT